TGAGAAGATGAGGTCATCTGCATGATAAGACCCCTTGCTTTTCCCCCTAAGATGAACAATAATTTTCTTTTGCTAATAACTTTCTTGCCCCACCCTCCTATAAAAACCTTCCTTTTTTCCCTTTTTTATAGCGCCTCAAAGCTTCCCCTCTACTTGCTAGATGGAACGCTGACCAATTCAGAAATCACTTGATAAAGCCAGTTAAATCTTTAAAAAATAAAAAATAAATAAAAAAAGGAAAGGAGAGGAGAGGAAAGGAAAGGAAAGGAGAAATACTCTCACAGCACTGAAGCTAAAACCCTGGATTTTTTCTTGATTTCTCTCTCCTTGCTGCCTTCCCACAGCCAATCAATCACCAACTGAATCTCTTAGTTGTCTTTCAAATTTGCCCTCTCCTCCTTAGCACTACTCCCATGTCCTAATCCAGGTCCTTATCATGACTTGCCTGGACCATTGCAAATCTCCAAGCTGATTCATGACCCTGACCTTAACTCCTAGTTAGATGAATTTCCCCCCACTCTTCATTTGCTGTTGCCTTTCCTATTTTCTTGGGCCAGGGGTTTTACACCTTTTCAAACTCTGTTACATGGCAATAGATAACCAATACACAGGCAAGATATCAGCATAAAGCAGGAAGTGGATAAATAGCAGGATGGAAGGGAGAAGTCAATAGAGGGCAGATTGCAGGGAGGCTGAAAGCTGTTCAGAAACTTTATCCTCTAGTGACTAGAAACTACTGAGGGCTCTCTGTATTTTGTAAAGACTATTATGGCCATAGTGTGAGGATGGATTTAAATGAAAAAAGGCCCAGACACCAGTTAATAGGCTTTCCAGTAATGCAGAATTAAGACGAGGGAGCCTAAACCAGGTAAAGGCAGTAGTAAAGGTGTGGACAAGGCAGACTTAAAAATAATGAGAAGGTAAAATTAGCAGGACCTTGTGAGTGATGAGATATTATATGTTGAAACAGGACAGAATCTAGGATGATTCCCAGATCTGACTTAGATGGCTGGGCAGATGGTGGTATCATTAACTAAGATCTCCCACTGATGTAGGAAAAGATGTTAGGGTTTGAAGCCGATGGTCAAGAAAGAATTCTTGAGACGTCTTTGGTGCAAAATGGTGGTTTTATTAAAGCATGGGGACAGGACCCGTGGGCAGAAAGAGCAGCACTAGGGTCATGAGAAATGGCCCATTATATACTTTCAAGTTGGAAGGGGGTTAGGGATAGTGTAAGTCTCTAAGGTATTTTGGAAGCAAGGTTTCCAGGACCTTGAGGGACTAGCTATTGTTGGGATAAGGTCATTTATGACTGTCTAATAAAACCTGAGTCATGAGACCCTTCGGATGTGTATGGGTGGGTCATATGCTTGGGGGATGATTGTCAACATGTATCTTGGGGGGGTGCGGCTAGAGATAAAGGAAGTTTCCAGAGGAATTTTTATAAGTTAAAGTAGGCTTATAGGATCCTGGGGGCTGGACTAAGTTTGCCTTTTGCCCTTAGTAAAGTATTAACATCGAGGCAGTTGAGTCCCTAGAGGAATGTCACTCTGCCTGTTTCAAGGACTTGTCAATAGGCTACAGATAGTAAAGAAATTGAATAATTTTTCTTCTGCCTTTGTTTCCCACATCACCACTACTCAATTTTGCCATGAATTTAACTAGCATTAGTGCTTAACAGGTGTGTGTGTGTGTGTGTGTGTGTGTGTGTGTCCATGCACTGAGTATGTGAAGGGAGGAGTGGAGAATCTAAGAAATTGAAAATCAACCCTTCTGGTAATCACATAGCAATGTTCCCAACAGAACAGGGACAACGTTTCTACATGCCCAAGGCCACACCGCAGCTGCAAACTGACTGACAATCCTTTCTTCTGGGCAGTTACTGCTTTCTTAGCAATGTCTCCCCAGTCCCACTTTGTTCCTCCCACCTCTTGAACCAAGACTGCTGCAAGTCAGTTGCTAAACTGCCTTGAACACCCCCCACCCCCACTTCCCTGATCCCTCCTTTGCCTCACTCAGCACAAGGCCAAACCTTTCAGAAGCTTTGTCCTATGTCCCCAGTCCCTTGGGTATATGTCCTCCTGTGCTGCAGTTAAGCGAATAAAACTAATTTTGCATCACTACAAGTAAAGAGAAGTTAGAGAGACCAGAGCTGAGGGCTCTATGTATTATTATATATATTATTCTGTGACAAGAAAGCAAGACCCTGCCACAATTTCTGAATGTACAACATTGATTATGAAAATTTTCAGATTTTCAGAAAGGGTGAAACAATTTTATAGTATATACCGCTACTGAAATTCTATTATCATTCAACTGGTATTGATTTAATGCCTACTATCTGCCTGGAGCTATGCCTACCTGTAAAGACATAAAAAGCAGAGTGAAGTTAGGGAACAAGGGAGGGTTTGATTTGGCGGGAGCACAGAGTTTGTGAGGGGGTCATGTGACTTTGGTCTGTGCAATTATGTTGGAGTCACATGGAGGACACTGCATTTCATGGCACGAAGTTTATACTTCATCCTGGTTGCAATCAGGAGCCATTGACGGCATGTAAGGAGGGGAGTGTCTTGTGCTTTAGAAAGCTCATTTCCCCCATCAGTATTAGGCTGGAGTGGAGAGGACATGACATCTGAGAGCTAAGTTAGGAGACTCTGCAAATGTCCTGGGACAAATAAAGGTTAAACTGTGAACAGAACAGATTGCAGAGAGAGAAAAAGGAGAATCGATCTCTTGGGGGCTGGGTTACCTACTCCCCCAAAGAACCATATAGTTACACAAAGATATGTCCAGTGATCTTTCTGAAAGTAATGGAATATGGAGTCCCAAAAGAGAAAGGAGGAAGGGCTAGCCTGGGATGCCTACATAAATATTTTGACCTGTAAATAACCCTAACAATTTAAAATGAACCACTAATTAGAATCAGAATATGGAGAAAAGGTTAAGAGATAAGTCCCAAGGATATTGGAAAGATAAGATGATGCGAAGAATTTGCTCTTTCAGGCCAATAGATCAAAGGACCTAGAGTTATCCCCTCCCCTCCCCAGCGTACTTCCCAGGTTCTGGTTTAAAGCAATAAAAGAAAAAACATGTGGTTTCATGTACAAGGCTATTCCTACAATATCTCTGAGGGAGAGAAATCTCAATACTCTGGTTTCAGTTCAGTTATGCTTAGTAGTTGTGTTTTATGATTAAAGTACCTGATCATTGTCCTGTGAACTGAGTCCATTATTGCTTAAATCTTTGAACTTGCAAATATATAGCATAAAAGTTTAAACTCTGTTCCTATTTTTGGCCAAGGAACAGTTCTAGCATTCTGCCCAGCTTATCCTCTCCCAAATCTATGTAGATATGAATGAGTCATTCTTCCAAAGGTACCTTTCAAATTATGAGAAACTTACCTACTTTAGTTCTTTTAAATGTTCTTAGTTCAGCCCACGAAAACCCCACATTATTAAACCCCTGGGAATGCTAAACTGAAATAATTGCATTTGCTCTTTAAAATGAACTGTACTTCTTATTAAGAATGGGTCATTACCTATTTACCTTGGGAATTTCAGTGCTAATAAATGGATATCTGATGTTATCTGAGGCAGTAATTAAGCTCTTCTCTCACTATCTTACTTCGGTGCATACCAGCATTGTATTCAACACTCAATCTTTCCTCTGACACATCATATGCCTTCTAAAACAAAAACAAAGTCATCAACAAAATACTGTCATGCTGTTTGCTTCTTGTTTTTATTTTCTCAAGGGGTATGAACTGGTAAGTCCTTCGGACTTGCTTAACACTCCTCTAAGTTACTTAAACTACCTGTCAGTCAAAACCCACTTACTTCTCAGGCTATAAAATCAGTCTCAGAGAACCCCACTATAAATAAACTGGTTTATAAACTAGACTCATATATCTTGCGAGACCAATTATGCCCTTCCAAAAAAACCCAACTCCTAAAAAAAAAGAATGAAACAGTTTCTTGCTAAGAACACTTGCATTACATTATAAAGGGTTTCCCCTGGACTTAGAGGGGCCTGGAGTACAAATCTAGAAAGCCCAGTCGGCCAAAGGGTGTTGACAACTGTACAGACTTTCACACGCCAACAAAGCCAGTGTGATCTACGTCCAAAAGTGTAAAAATTTCTATTTTGAACAACTTTCTTAAAAGCTGTTTTCCAAATTAGCAAAATACATTCTGGTTGGATTTTTTTTCTTCCTTACATCTCCGTTTTTACTCATGTCACACCAAAGATTGTAAAAAGTTAATTGTACATTTAAGGGGAGGAGAAAAGGTAAGTGTCTTTAAAATGGGAGACTGGGGCTTAGTAAACCGAAAAAATGTGCTCGAAGTCACCAACTAGTAAAATGCATTGCTGGGATTTGAATCCATAAAGATACCAAAGCCCATTCTTTTCCCATGAGACCAAGGTGACCTAAAAGGTATTGGATGCTTCCATTTGTCTCTAGGGGTCCCACTGGCTCCTAGTAACTTCCCTGCAAGGGTTGAATCCACTTGGCAGGGAGGGGCTTCCAGCTGTGCTGTGCCCCCCCCGCCCCCCGTTTTCTCCTAGTCCTATATTCCGGGCCTTTCTTCTGTGCTTTCTTTCCCTCTATGAGGCCAAATCTCCTTTTGTGGGGCGCTCAAATCGAAGGCATTTCTCGCTTCCACTCTTCCACAGCACCCACAAAATCAAAATATCCCAAAGAGACGTGTTGAGGGAGGCAGGGAATGTGTCCCCACCTTGCACCAAGAGTAACGGGGGACCCCACAAACCCGGTGCGACTGCCTCGGATTGTGCCAGGAGCCTTCGGGAATGTTCCCTGGGCCGGGCGCACCCAGAGCCTAGTGCCAAGCATCCCCAGTTCCCCCAACGTGGAAACTCCGAGCCGGCCAACACGGTGCTACCTCCCTCCTTGTGCGCACGGCTCCTGAGACACCCGCCCGGCGCTCCCCGCGTCCCGGGACCCGGGCGAGGGAGGACCCGGCGCGCAGCGTCGCACTCACCCGAGCCCGTCGGTCCGCGCAGCGGTGGCCCAGGAGGCGAGAAGCGCTGCAGCCCTGCCCCTCGCCCTGCCCGTCACGTTTACCCTGCAGGACGCCGGGGGCTGAGCGCTCCTCTCGGCGGCCCACGTGACCTAGACCTTTGGCGCCAAAGGTAGGTCCTCACCTCCCCTCCCCGTGACCTGGCCGCACCCGGGAAAGCCCTCCATCCTGGGAGAAGCCGGCACCCCCCGGAGTGGAATCCTGAAAAGTAACGGAGAAAGGTAGGCTGCGGTGCAGCTCTGCTTTGTTTGTTCCTTTGTGTGTTTTGATTTTCCCTCCCACTTTTTTAAAGCTGCTATCAGAATTTAAAGATTTTTTTTTCTTTTTATTTATTTATTTGAGAGAGAGAATGAGATAGAGCATGAGAGGGGGGAGGGTCAGAGGGAGAAGCAGACTCCCTAATGAGCAGAGAGCCCGATGCGGGACTCGATCCCGGGACTCCAGGATCATGACCTGAGCCGAAGGCAGTCGCTTAACCAACTGAGCCACCCAGGCGTCCCAGAATTTAAACATTGTATTTAAAAATCATTCCCCACACGGGTGCTTGCAATCCTGGTGCTTGCAAGCCCTGTCTTTGCCTCTGGAACCCGAGGGGTATTTTACTGCCACTGTTTAGGAAGCCCACTTGCATTCGCCCAAAGTCCACATTCCCGTCGCACTAATCCTGAGAACTCACCAAGGGCTCATACTGTGTCAGGTGCTTTCTCTGCAGGAGTGCCTGGGAATCTTACCGCAATCTGATAGGTTCTGTACTAAGATTATCCCCATTCTGCAGGCCGGAAAACTGAGACTTAGAAAGGTTAAGTGTCCCGTTCAGGGTCACATCTCTTGTAAGTGACCTCAGTAGGTATTTTTAACCTCCCTCAGGTCCTGGGCACTGAGCCAGACACTGAGGGGAAGACAGGTCTAAAAAGGTAGGGAGATTACAAGAGCAAGGTAAGACAAAATACAGGAATGTCATCATTCCCACATCGGAATGTCCCCAAATGCCCTGTGGTTCAGAGATGGTTATTTAGAAGCACCCCAGGCAGGCCACCTGGCGTGGCATTCTGGCTCTGCTACTTAGCTACTAGCTCTGAGCCATTACTTTTCACAAAGACGATCAAACCAACCACCCTGCTCCTTTGTGAGGTGACTTGGCCGCTCTTCCCATCAAGTCTGTTTTCCGGTGTCCTGTTGGATCAGGGCTGGCTTTGTGACAGGTTTTGGCCATTAGTATGTGGGCAAAGGCTGGTTGCTTCCCAGAAATCAAAGGGCCTCGCAGCTTCTGCTTTGAGGCAGCTGCCTCGTGACCACCGTGCCAGAAGCCAGTGTGTGTGGCTCCTGAAGAGTGAGAGGTCACATGCAGGAGGACTGAAGCGTTCCAGAGATAGCAGTACCCTCTGAGAGACCAGTAAGAGAAGCCAGAGGGTTCCAGCTCAACCTCTCCACTAGCCGAGTGCATGAGTGAGCCCCGGCAAAAACCAGCAGCAGGATGGCCCAGCAGGTCCGCTGAGCAGGAAAAAAACCTAATTTATTGTTATTTTATTAAGCCATTTATGTTTTGGGTGGTTTGTTATGCAACTAAGGCTAACTATAGCACTAATTTTGTAAGCTGGAACAAATTATTTAATGTCACCGAGTCTCCGTTTTCTGGAGAAGCAATCTGGGGATCCTGGACACTCAAGAACAAGGTTTGGGGAGGTATGGATTTGCAGCAGGAGGTACACAATGGACTTAGTCCCATGGATGCCTCACTCTGTGTGGAGGAGTACAGCAGTGGAGGGCCAAAGGGGGCCTTCTAAACTGTGGGCCTTAGCACAAGGACAGCTACTAGCCAAGGAATACCTTTACCCAGCATGGAGCCACTTAAATGAAAACCAAACTGAAGTTTACAGTAAATAGAAAATGAATCACACTTGAGCATAGGTCTTCAAAAACAGGGTGTCACCAAAGTTTTACTGCAGTTTTAATAACTTCAGAAGTATTAATGCTGCAACTTACAAAACATCACTTGAAAGCTTAATTACATTTATTTTACACTTACTCAGTTTTGTGAATTTTGAGTAACACATTTTTCAGTTTTAATTTTTGTTTCATTTCCCCTGAGTGAAAAATGGCATATATTGATTAAAAGAAAAAAAAATTACATCTATTAAAATAATTAAAACTTAGAGTCAAAAGAAGTAAACTTTCAAATGATAGTTTTGTAAGTTTGTGGCATTTATACTTCTGAAGTTATTAAAGCTTAACATTACGCTAACATATTTTGAGTCACCCCATACTTGAGTTTGTGGTGTATCAGGTTTTGTACTAGGTACTGAAGCTTAGATTTTTTAAAAAGGAAGAAAGAAGAAAGAAGTGGTCTTCTATGGAAACTTGAGTCTAGTTGGAGAGAGGAGCCACTTAAGTTGATCCCATAATACAATATGATAAAGGCTGTCACTGGGACCTATAAAAAGTACTGTCCTTACAGAGAACAGGGACCAAGTGACTCTGGCTAAGGAGCCAGGTGACATGAGGTGACATGAAGCTGGGCATTATAAATGAATAGACATTGCAGGGAAAGGGTATAACACAGGCAAAGAATATAACCACGTGTGAATTGATGCTGTGTTCTGGGAATGATTGACTATTTGGGGCTACTGGATGCACTCAGGATGGGTTAGCAGTTGGCTAAAACAGATATACAGAAATCAGAGTGGGAGAAGCTTGAATGTCGAGCTACAAAGACTGATGTTATTCCCAGTTAGTAGATTGGGAAAACAACTTTTTTAATGAAATAGGATAGAATAGAATAGAACAGGTATTTTAGTTTCCTAGGACTACTGTAGCAAAATACTAATAACTGGGTGGTTAGAAACAATAGCAATTTATTGTTTCATGGTTCTGGAGGCTGGAAGTCTGAATTAAGGTATCTGTAGGGCCATGCTTCCTCTGAAACCTGTAAGGGAAGGATTCTTCCCTCTTCCAGCTTCTAGTAGCCCAGGGCCTTTGTGAGTTACGGCAACATAATTCCCATCTCTACCTGTGTCCTCAAGGATGTCCCCATGTTTCTTCACATTATCTTCCTTCGACATGTGTCTGTCTCTGTGTCCCAATTTCCCCCTTTTACGAGAATACAAGTCATATTGGATTAGGACCCACCCTAATGACCTCATTTTAACTTCATTACCTCAGTGAAGACCCTCTTTCCAAATAAGGCCACATTCTGAGGTACCAGGAGTACCAGGAGTGGGGGGTGAGGACTTCAATGTATCTTTTTTGGGGGACACAGATCAATCCATGACAATATAGGAGATGAAATGTTAGAGTAAGTCATGCTTTGTGACACTTTCTGTTTCAGCATACGTGTGTGTGTGTGTGTGTGTGGTAGGTCATTGTATCAGTTTCCTATTGGTAGCATAACAAATTACCACAGAATTAAAGGCTAAAAGGAACACATTTATTCTCTTATGGTTCTAAAGTCAGGAGTCTAAAATCAAGGTGTCGGCAGGACTGCATTTCTTCCCTAGGCTTTTGGGAAGAATCTGATTCCCTGTCTTTTTCATCTTCTAAAAGCTGCCCACATTCTTGTCTCCTGGCTGCTTCCTTACATCACTCCAACCTCTTGCTTCTGTCTTCATATCTGTTACTACTCATGCTGATCCTCTAGCTCTCTCTTAGAAGGATTGTTGTAACCACATTTGTCCCACCAGATAATCCAGGATAATCTTGTCATCTTAAAGTCCTTAATTTAGTCACATCTGCGAAGTTCCTTTTGCCGTGCAAGGTAACGTATTCATAGGTTCTGGAGGGTAGGATGTGGACATCTTTGGGGGGCAGGCATTAGTCAGCCTACAACAGTCATAATGCAAACCGTATTTATTACTATGAGATATGGTCAAAATAGCTTGAAAGCCACTACACTGGAAGCCTGAATTTTTTGATTAAGATATATTGCTTATTTTCTTAGTATGAACATAATAAATGATCATTAGAGAAATATGAGGCTATACAAAAAGGTCAGATAAAATTTTTGATGTGATTCCTCAGAGATAACCATGATGTATTTTTGTCTACTCTTTTATCTGTACAAATATATGTTATACACAAAAGATGGAATCATATTATATGGAGTTATTTATCCTGCTTTTAGAAGTTAGCATTATACCCTGATTATTTTCACATGTTGTCAATTCAAAAACATAATATTTGTGGCTATAATGTTCAATCCTATGAATCCACCATAATTTATTCAACCATTTCCAACATCCGGTCATTTGAGTTGCTTCCAATTTTTCCTTATAATTAATTCACTAAGAAATATTCTCATATAAATTATTATGTGCATCTAATTATTTCCTTAGCAGAAAAATCTGGAAAGCAGAATTACTGAGTCAGAGGGTTTTCGGAAGGTTATCCAAGTTCAAAGAAGAGAACTCTATTGGAAAAGTAAAGTACATGGGGCAGGGGTGTGGATGGAGGTGACAGCCACGGGAGGAGCCGAGTTGGAAGAGTATAGTACGAAGTACAAATAATCTCTGCAAAAGATGATGAACTCTTGGGCCAAACTGTGTGTGGTAGTCCCTGTATGAGTTTCCTAGAACTGCCATAATAAGTCGTCACAAACTGGGTGGCTTAAGACAGCACACATGTATTCTCTCACAGGTCTGGAGAAGTCTGAAATCAAGCTGTTGGCAGGGCTGCTCTCCTTCCAGGGGTTCTGCGGGAGAATTTTTGCCTCTTCCAGTTCCTGGGAATCCTCGATGTTCCTTGCCTTAGAGCTGCATTTCTCCATTGTCTGTCTCCATCTTTACGTGGCTTTTTTTCTCAGTGTTTTTGTATGTTCTCTCCTTTACTTTTCTTTTTTTTTTCTAAGATTTACTTATTTATTTGAGGGGGGAGAGGGGCAGAAGGAGAGGGAGAAAGAGTCTTAGGGTTCGATCTCATGACCCTGAGATCATGACCTGAGCCAAAACAAAGAGTCCAATGCTTAACTGACTGAGCCCCCCAGGGGCCCCTGTCCTCTCCTTTTCTTATAAAGATGCCAGTCATTGGATTTAGAGCCCATCCTAATCCAGTATGACCTCATCTTAACTAGTTACACCTGCAAAGACCCTCTTTCCAAATAAGGTCACAGTCTGAGGTTCTGGATG